AGGCAAAGAACGATTGAACCACAAAAATTTTTTTCTGACAATCACGTTGTTGCAGAAAAACGGGAATAAGTTGCTTATTGTTAGAGCTGCTCATTAAGCGATATGAAATTTGGTGTTGTGTGAGAAAACGCTTTCTTAATTGACGTTTGCAATCAATCGTCAATCATTTCCTACAGACAGCATTTCTCAAATTAGAGGCATTTTTGAGTGAATTTAATCAGCTTACTCGTTCGTTTACGGTATATTAGGAAGTAACTTAAAAGGTGGCTGGTTGGCTGGCTGTTCGCTTGAATAGGCTTAAATCGATGCTGTTGAGCGTTTTGCACTCACACATGCGATCAACGAAGGATTGATTGTTCATTAATGGTTGGTTATTTATACCTTTCACAATTATGCATGCAACGAAGTTGCACTTTTGCATCGAGAAATATCACTTTTCTAGTCACTGCTCCAAGAATGAATAATGCCTCGTTGATTCGTTTTTGCCGTTTCCGTTATATTAAAACTAAGGATCCGCGCTCGCAGTCAGTTCATTTCCCATATTATAAGACCCGATCAATTCATGGTTATGTTATTTTCATCCTTTATTAAGCCTCAGAATGGTCAGCCGACTTCACTGTGAACAATTTCTCGTACAAATAATTTGATTCAATTGTTCAATAAGCTTCTCTTCTACAATTCGAAGCCTCAGTGTTGGTAAAAGAATGGTGATGGTGATCAATACAGTCAACTTTTTAAAAGTCGTAATTGCTGGTGATTAACTTCAATTCACCTTAGCAAATTCTTTGAAAGCGTTGTTGATACCGAGAAAAAACATTGTTTCGCTTCCAAATGAAGAATGTGTTATTGACCATTAATACCCGGTTGAGATGCATGAATGTTTTCCCATGATACAGTGATTCTCATAGTAGGTAAAATTATCCGTTTTGGGTAATCTGGAGGTGTCAAGGGGTAATGGAGGGGTCGGGAAATTAGTATTTCGTACCGTTGTTCTGTTATGATAGAACGCCATTGTGATGGAGCTTTTTAATCCGGGCATTTAAATGTTTTAATCCGATATTTTTACCCGAGAACCGGTTAAGTAATGGCGATACTCTTCATTTTCCTATTTCTTGAGTGTACCATTAGTTCGTCCTTGCCTAACAGGGTTTTCAATCGTTTTAACAGAGTTTTCATTCTTTTACCTGCTGTTACAATCGCTGTCATAGCTTTCATCACCAACAATGTTCTCTTTTGCTAATTTTCTCATTCATTTCACTCAACAATCAAATTCAAATTCTCATTCTATCAGATACACTCTATAATTCATCAATAGACTGTCGAACAATTGCTGTATTGTTGATTTCGGCTGTCAACACTCGTCAACGTGTCCAGTAAATAGTATATGATACAGAATAACAAATCGATTCGAACTGTGAAGTGAAATGAAACGAAGTGAATGAGAAAAACCCATCAAGAGAACGGTATTCGCATTTAATAGCTATGAGAGTGAATACAACACGTCTGAAAAGAATGAGAATTCATCTAAATCAGTTTGAAGTGAGCGTGTCATAGACAATAGCTTACGGTTTTTTCCTCAGACATTGCGGTTTTTCAAGGAAAATTAATAAATCAATTCAATCATTTGTTTACCTGGATTACCTGGATTGGCCAAGCTATCAAACGTTTATAATGTTGCTGGCCACAATGCTCGCGTTTCCGTGTGCATTGTTTTAGCCTTAATTTACGCCACCCCGCTGGCTAGGCGAGCAGGCCAGCCGAACACGACCGAGTAAATAATTAGTCGCCGTGAATACTTTGCATGATTGAACGCAGTCAAGTACTAATTCAATAAATAATCATTACTCTAATAGAATAAATATTCCGCCGATCGCTCACCGCGATCGATTCAGCATGACTAAACAAGTGGAAGACTTCGAGATAATGCAAATTTATTCGCAAGAAGTTGTTATAAAAGAGACGATTGACGAAACAACCACTCGATGTCCAAGTAATAATTAATAATTTGTATTTGTACTCAATAATTTCTACTTATTGTTAATCTAATTAAGCGCATGCATTTTGAATGCAGATGCTTTTGATTATCCAACAACTAGCTTAATAATTTGTGTTCCATGCGAGATCTCTACTTGTTAGAGTCACGACTTAAGGACGACTTAAATGAAAGCTTAGCACTTTAATCAAATGAACGCTATATTGTAATAATACTGCTAGCAGTGGGATCGTTAGTTTCTCAAATGACAGGTATCATTGGTGAAATATCAGAAGAAATTTGGTAATCTGGTCATGACGAAATCGTTTCTTTTTGACACTCAGCATTGTTTGGTTCGTTGATCGAATGCTTTCCAGCCGAGTTGTCACAACACTTGAGATAACTGCGATAGAAAATGTTGCAAAGTCCTGAACTAGGCTCATACTTCATTGTCCCATCAAACACCAGCATGACCTATTGGAGGAAAGAATTCATGCATCTCAACAGGGTATCCGTGGTTAATACTACTTTCCTCATTTGGTAGCGAAATATTTCTCGAACGACTTTCATGCGATTGGTTATGCTTGTGAAGCTTAAGATGAGTTGAAATGCTTGAAAGCACTGATTAAGCAGGCGATCGCAGAACGTTTTCACATCTGCGATGTACTTTTGTCATGGCATTTGTTTGTTTTTCCCGAATCGAACTCTTCCCACATAAACTGTTCTCTTTATGAATTATTCAACTGGTCGCTTGATTACCTCATTGAATGGCTGTGATTCAACCTCGTCTACTTTTCCCAATGTCTCATAAATTTTTCAATCTCAAGCGTTCAGCATAATATTGAAGTTTCATCTGGATCTCTGTGGCTCATTGCTTTCATCTTATTCGCTTGCAGAGAAATTATTTTTAACAGAATTTTCTGATTATAGGAGTTTGTGGAGAAGGAATATCTTTAGTAAAATTTTAAGTCCCGAGAAATGTAATTTTTTAACCAAAAAAAGCAGCTGTGATAGAATGCAATGACGAACAATTCAATCAGACGATTTCCTCAATTCCGCTCAATAATTGCGGTTCTCGCATTGCCCGAGTCATCACCCGCTAAATGTAGAGTAGGTGACTTCTGAATGAGCACATGGTTTTAGAAGAAAATTAACTTTATTTGAAGAAATCAATAGGTCATAATTAATTGATATTTTCGTGACTTGTTCTATTCGAATATATCTATCTATCTATCTATCTATCTCTGCTTCTGTTTGTCAACACAACATAAGCTCAGGCCGAGTGTGAATGGGAAGGAGAGCGTTTACTACCGTTGTTCTGATTTACATTGTGCTCTGTGTGAAATGATTTCAAGTGATCTTTTGTTGTTCGTCATATTTGATGATGCTCAAATGAAAAATAGATATTCAACGTGAATAATTGAATCGTGCTGAGCTAACAAACACATTGACAATTGAATGAAGGTGAGTGCATCCAAAACCAGGATTTTTTCGTTGCACTCTGATTCACTTCATCAGATTCCACTGACATTTCGCACTTGAGTCGTCATATTCTCGCATAATTGATCACATCGCGTCACGATACTGCTCAGTAAAAAGTGCTCATCTTCCACTTCCTATGCAAACGTCACAGACTGCATCAGTATTGCAGAGAACAAGAAATGTTTTCCTTTTTTGATTTCCCATCTTGTTTTTCACTGTTTCAAATGTGCCAAATTATCGAATAATTAAGCGAATGCGTTAAGAGTTGGGTGTTTCGATGAAACTTGGCATCGCCAATTAATATTCCACAAGAGGGTTGAGCCAAAAGCGAAATCGGACTCGACGACTCTGATGATAATAGGGGTTTGGGTGGTAGTTCCTGAATTGTATGGTTGGTGGGAGGTAGTGCAAGCGCCTTGTGGGTACTCCGAAGCTGATCTTTCAACATTCGCTCGTGTTTTCAAGAACGCGTTCCCAATACGACCGTCTTCTGTTGATATGATGGTGTCAATCTAATTGTTTAGTGAGTAGAGCAAAGAATTTACTCGATTGTATTCATCGTTTTTATAATTTCTCAGAATGTAATTAATTTATCTCATTTGCGTTCACATGCAGGTGTGAAAAATTATAGTGGTTGGTGTAAACATTATAGTGGTTGGTGCAGATATAAAACATTGTTTTGATAGCATTTTTTCTATTGCGATAATTTTGGCTGTCTTACTAGTTACTCTGGTTGTGAGCATCAGAAACAAAGTAGCTTAGTTGTTCGGAATGTCCGCTCTACGAGACTTTCAGCGATATGAGAAACTTGCTGACCGTTCACTATCACAAATTATTTTGAGCACAAATTGAGTAGAAACTAAGAAAAACAGATTATCGCCTGAGTTAGTTTGAGCTCGCTTTTGTTTATTGGATTTTCTAGGTTTATCAGATTATTATTGGATTATAGTGCAACTCATGATTATTGAGTGAATATACAGGACTAGAATTCTGTTTAATATCACCTGTTGTAATTGTGGGGTAGTTATTTGCTGACTGAGAAGGGCATATGATCGAGAAATTAGTAATTCAGTTAGTATGCCTACTCTCTTGTTATCAACGTCCCAAACCGAAAGAATTTTAGTCGACAGTTTAATTACATCGCTTTTTCAGATGCCCTCTTGGAAAGCGCATAATTATCGCATATGCGTACATTTTGAAAAATTCACTGAAGCATTATGAGATGTACGAATATTGCAATTTCTAAAGCACTTTTTGCAACTGAGCGAAACTGTTGTTCCTCACTATACCGTCACCAGAATCTTTCTCAGTTTTCAAGAGGCTCATTTTATTCTCGGTGAATTATAAATACTTTGACAATATGTCATCTGATATCTCTTCAGCTCTTGAAATTTGTCTAGCGAATCACATTTTTCGTTTGTCAGTGATTCATCAACATAAGTTTGCTCATTCTACGCGAAATGCAAACAGTTGTTGGTGTTGGAATAGTGAGGATAAGGCTCGTGAATACGTTTCATCATGAACATTTCAGTGAAAACGTTTCGAAATGAATGATGATGAAATCATTTTGGTGAATGCAACTGTATGGAAGAACTTCCTTTGGCGACGGCATTCACATACGTGTATTCCAATTCAGCAGTCATTACCCGATAAAGTGGATTTGCTACAGCTGCAAATTCTATTCTCTGTTCTTTATTTTTTGGTTTGGATTGTTGCGGTCTCTGGGAACGCACTTGTTTTGTATATTGTTACGATCAAACAGGTAAGACTGATGTTGTTACACGTTTATTTGCGTCTGTGAACTGTTGTGAACGATGGAAGCACTGGAAATCTATTGCAACAAATGAAACTTGTTGATGATGCTTAAAGCAATTGTTGTCATCATACTGCTCCTATCATCAGTTCATGGATGTTTTCGAAAAATATCTATGATTTTTGCGTGTTGCAAGAGCACTCTTTATGCGATTAAGTAACTCATTCGTATTTTCTTGCCTCGAACAATGTTAATATACTACTCACTTAATTCTCTGAACAGCTGCCAGAATGTAATTTCGAAACAATAACATGTTCATGTAATCATAAAGTTAATGTGTTCCGTAATATTCATCTTCAAACTAATGATTAATACTGAGCTAGTTAAACGAGCCATTTTGTTGTTATCTAGTCGCACACAAATAACCTTACGGATGGATACAAAAGCAGTTCTGACTTGATGATGAAATTCAGATCTGAGCAACGTATCTATCTCCGTGTTGGAAAAGCATAAATATAGATTGACAACTGATGAATGACAACTAACTCTTTAATTTCAGGTCTCTTTATCAGTTAGAACCATATTTATTGGGAGCTTGGCGATCAGCGATATTCTGATGTCTTTGACGAGCTTACCCGTGACTGCGGTGACAATTTTCACTAGAGACTGGGTTTTTCCGTCGATATTTTGTCGACTAATTGGTGTGTTCCAGGTGGGCGATGATTTTCATCCGTTCATTCACAATTCTGAGATGATGATATTGAACAGTAGTGGCATGAGGTCATGTATGAGATGTATACTGGATGGTTGATTCTATTTCAGTGGTTGATTGTTGGTCAACATTGACGGTGCATAAGCTAGTTGTTGATTAACAGAAGCAGAATTGATTCTTGAATTCGTGATTAGCTCGATCCTATTGTCCTTTGAGGATTTTACAATTTTAATTATGAATGAGAAACACCAATGATCAACGCCATTTGTTCGTTTAAGTTCGCTTACAGCGTTGGGAGTTGAGGCTTGGTCTATTGTTTCTTGAAGCCTGATAGTATCTTCCCGTCCAAATTATCATATCCATGGGATATTTCGATGTTATATCGTGTTCACGAGCGGCGAGCAAGGTATTACATCGAAATATCTCATGGGTTATTGATAATATAACACTACCTAGCAGTTACAGCAAAAGTTTTAACAGTAATGATTTTAAAGGGAGGAAGTATATTCGTATCAAGTTTTACACTCACAGTTATCGCAGTCGATCGTTTACTGCTTATCATCTATCCGAGTAAAGAGGTAACTGAACGAATCTCTTCGAAATGTTTCTTTCACAGTCTACATTGACAGTATTAATGGCCATATTGAAAGATTTTGTTACAAATTTCACATATCGCCAAATAATGGATGTCGAAGAAATATGGAAACAACAACTCAAGAAGTCACCATAGTTCATTCCACGCAGAACATAACATTTCCACTCTCTTTTGAATGCTCCTCATAAGCTTTTTCTTCAAGAATGCACTTATTGCTGAACCATAACGCAAAATGATGATTTGCACATCGCAGAGCAATTCAATAAAGTTCACAACAACAGTAACCATTCATTCACAACACAATAAAACATTTAGAGCTTATGTGATTGAATGAAGTTCGTTTTTTGGTTTCTTTTCAATGAAGGAATTTCAAAAATTCATCTAATGGAAACTCAGGTCAATTATGTGGTTGAACCGAACAAGAAAATCTTTCTGTATGATCGAGAAGAAAAAAAATCTTCAAACATTTCTTGCTCTAATGCAAGAAAAGTTGAATGAAAATATATTTTGAATGAAAATGTTAGGTTGATAGAGCTGAAGGGGGTGTGATTTCGGTGATTAGCACAATTCGTCATCTTTGACTGTCAGTCATCATTAATGTATTCAGTCAACTGATTGAAGGCGCCCATCAAATTGTTCCAAATTTATCCCCTACGCTAACAGGAAATCAATCGTTTGATCGCTTTCGGAAATATTAGAACTTTTTGACGTCGTATTTGATTGAACTAATATTCCTCACTATCACGTCGCTCCAATATATCAGTTTATGAACAACCTTCTTACCGCAGTCATAGCCAACAATAGCAAAAGTCGCGCAAAAAGGGCTCAACCGATCTGTTATACGATAATTCCGTTCTGTTCTGTTCAACTCAACTAAAATTGTTCTATGAAGAAGCAGAGCCATTTCATACAGAAGCAGAATTTCGCAAATTCAAAAGAACATAGAAAGTCTTTTCACGTATTCACAGCCAAAAACACAGTTAATGGAGTATAAACAGTGTATTAAAGAACTTGAAAATGCTCGATAGGGTTTTGTTTGACTCAACTTATTGTTCAGCATACATTGCTGTGTGGTGCTAACGCATGTCAACGTATACATGTATATTCTCGCAGTCATTTAAGAAACTAATGGCATTGTTTTGTTGAGGTCGTACAGCTAAACATCGTGGTTCTGTGAGATTAAAGGGTAGTTTGTGAGAATTTCGATTGATTTTCAGAAGTGATTTCAGATAATAACGTTCGAGCGAGCACTTGCAATTGTTATCAGTATCTGGGCCATTGGCTATTCATTCTCATTACCAAATGGTATTTTCTCAAGAACTGTTCGATATTACCCATATTGTGGTACTTTTTGTGAGGAGGCTTGGTGAGTATCACCTCATTTCGATGTACTCCCGTGACGATTTGCCCTGTTGCTCTAGCTTAGTCGTTTTGCAAACAACACTCATCAAAGAATGACAGACTCCTCATATTGATCGATGAAACATTCACTTCCTGTGTTGATAAGCAAAGTACGGGTAGAATTGATGTTGCGCCACTCTCGATCAGTGCATATTTTCAGGCCTGACTCGAATGTAGAGGACGGTTCAAAACTTGGTCGAATATATGGCACAGCTGTGATGGTTCTACAATTTGGAGTACCCGTACTAATCAGCTCATTTTGCTATTGGCGAATCAGTAGGGTGATCTCACAACAGATTGAGAAACGTCGAGAGCAACAAATTTTACTGAAGGAAAGCGAACAAAAGTTGACAAGTCGAAGGACCAGATCTAATAGGTGAGCGATAAAGTAGTGCTCATTTAGGTGCATACATGATGAAGAACACGTGAAGTAGTAGTAAAGAGCAGGTGTAAGTTATGCTTTTGAATCGTGGATTGAAACATCAGGATGATCACGATGAAAATACTCTGAGATATATAGTTCAGATAAGAGAAACAAATGTTAAAAAATGTAAAAGAGTATGTTGGAGATCAGTTGTTCCCGAACAATTCCAGCTGTTTATAATAATACTAATAATGATTGTGTGCTTTATATTGAGTGCATTCCGACCTCTTATCAGCAAGGTACGTGATTATCGTCTAATTAGATGCACTTTTCTCGGAATACCAGTCAACGTGGGTGAATAGATTTTTATTGGATTCGTTGTTGTTTTGAGAGTAGAAGGTCGACGAATCAGGTGTAAAAGATTGAACAGCTTATCGGATGGAATGAATGAAAATACGATGAATTTGCAGGATGATGGTTTGCATGGTACTCGGCTTGGTACTGGCTTGGTTACCGCTCAACCTAATAAATTTGTCGCGAGATTTCAACGGAGTTAGTGCCTGGTTCTCGACAATATTTGCGCTTTGTCATGTGATAGCAATGACATCGGCGGCCTGGAATCCAGTTATATATAGTTGGTTTAATCCACAGTTAAGGAGAGCACTGATAACGATGTTTAATGATGCGTCATCGTCGAATAAAGAACGGTTGCCGTTGGTTAATGTTTTGCAAGTGACCAAATGAAGGCTGTATAGAACGTCCTCTCATTGGGATGATGTTCATACTGTTAGTAAAATTGTTCAAAACATCAAATGGTTTTTCGTTGTTGAACGATATACTTACAATATGATTATATAAGACCATGTGTTCTAGCGTTGTGTGCCTGCTCGCCATCAGCCTAATTTCTAAAACTTTCTGTTTTGGATCTGTTGCTTGTCGTTTAGAGTATATTATTTGCGTTTTCTCTCAACTGTTTAAAGCCTGCTGATATGATGATGTACAGTAGATACATATAATATAGGTATTTCGATTTTAAGATATACATATATACCTCAATGGCATATTAGCGTGTATTCGAAAGCATCTTTACGTGAAGTTGATTGTTAAGAATGAAAATGTTTCTATGTCAAAATCGTCGCTCTTCCATGTTTTATTTTATCGTTGTTATATCTTGAAAACAGTGCCGCTACTCCACATATTTCAACGTATTTATTGATGAGTGATGCGTCTTCATTATCTCGTATGGTCAGTTCATTTTATTTCAGTTCAGTAGTATCTTCTAATGACAGTCAGTCACGTGCCATAATATGCTGTTCAGTATTTTATTTGCATTTTTCTTCCCTCTTTCTTCACCATATTCAACTGAACATGGCCGACCTTCTCATCAATGGAAGATTTGAATTTATGTTCAAGCGGTCAATGAAGTGATATATTATCAGAGAGATTGATAATAATTTAACTGCTGATAAATGATTTCAATCGAATTGGCTGTTTACAGCTGATGCATTATGATCGTTCTAGAGCTTGTTCAGATTAGAGACAAGCTGCACTTCGCAGATTTTGCAACCTCTCCTAAACCTCAACAATATGTAGCTTGCAAAATGTGAACGGCGAGAGAATTTTCATCGTAATCAATAGTGAATTTTCAATGGTCAACGATTCAGCACAATGCAAATGCCTCATTGATTCCTCGAAAAACAATTAGCACAGAAGTGACTCTCAATCTGTCGGAATTCTCAGTAGTATATAAACCGAACATTTTCACATAACAGCCATGAATGCGAGAGCAATAATAAATTGTTTATCATCTCGTATGCAATGACATTCGTTTTCAAAAGATTTGTTCAGTGCATAGCGGATTGAAATATTGCATTCAGGTAATAAAGTTAATGGAACATCATTTCCAGATTGTACATCTGTCCAAATAGATGTTCAAATGTGTACACGTTTCAGCTGCTCTGTGTTGCGATATGGACAAGGGCAGTACTGAAATGTGATGAACGATTTGTATTTAAATTGAACTGTTATGAAATAAGTAAAACGGACATTTGTCGCTTTTCTTTTCTCCTCTATTTAGATCCTAGCTTGAAAGGCCTATCTAACATCCAATGGTTAGAAATGCTCACCTCGGCATCTTGCCCTGTTCTTCCTACTTCACCATGGCGACCCATCGCTCCGTCTGGTCCAGATGGTCCTTGTACTCCGATCACACCTTGAGGTCCTTGTGGGCCTGCTTCACCAAAGTCGCCGTTTTTACCCGGAATACCATAACTACCTCTTGCCCCAGTAACGCCACAAAGTCCTTTCGGTCCTTTGGCGCCAACCACTTGTAGGGCATCAGAACCTTTCATACCTTGTGGCCCAATTGGTCCATCGCTTCCTTGAAATAAACTAGATGAATAACGAAACTTTTTACGACCTCATATTAAAGTGAAATGCTAGTATAACGCCCCTGATTTCATGAGAACAAAACAACTGTACTCATAACAAAATGACTTTTCGTTCATCTAGAAAAAAATCCATCTCAATCAGATAAAATGATGAGACTAGTGTGGAAATTAATTCAAACTATATAATGAATGATTAAAAATTCATGAACCTACCCCTTTGACCAGGAAGACCTGCTAAGCCAGATGCACCAGGCTGCCCGTTACGTCCAGCCATTCCAAATACACCAACCGATCCGGCCATACCTCGTGCTCCTGGCCGACCAATAGCTCCTGGCGAACCAGGTGGCCCGGGTGGGCAATAGTGACACATATTAGGATCATCGGCCATGCGATTCTCGTCGAACATATCAAGACCCTTCTTACCATCGACTCCTGATGTGCCTGCTTCTCCTGCCTCACCGCTGGCACCTTTTGATCCTTGTAATCCTGCCGGGCATTTGTTCTCTGCACGACAAGCTAAAAATCGTTGTTCAAATATTACGCCTTATTCTCCTCACAGTATAAAACAAAATGATTGTATGAAATCATGCCAAAGCCCTGTTCATCCAGCTCACATGAATCTAAGCAAGTTCACGCGGAATGTTCGAACCAAACATGTATCTTCCAATATCTCTTCCATCAATTTTCGATTCAAATGCCGTATTCACTGCATATTAAATTCAGATTCATGCAAATGCCTCAAATAACATGTTTAATTTCCTTACAAGAGTGGTGTACTGACTTTAACAAAAACGTCTTTCAAACTTACAACATGCACTTGGTGATGCATCCTTAACACCAGGTGGTCCATAAGCAGTGCCTATTTCACCAGCTGTATACGTTTCCTCTCTCTTGACTCTCGCTCTTGTTAGTTTGCCGTCCAGTTCAGATTGACCATCACTGGCGGATCCAGCCGCACGTCTATTTCTATTTCGCATACGTCCCATTACAATCATATCTCGCCATAAATCATCAGTTATTGTCTGTAATAACATCATAAACAGCAAGGAAACTTTTATCACTCCGAGCACTTATGAGATGAAAACAAGAAAATTTCATTGAGCTTAATTCTCAGTAATTATTCCACCGTTTTAGCTTTAAGTTCAAAGACAATGGAGATTAAAGGCAATAAATTGTTAGGAGCTTGGAACTGAGCACTACTCTGAATATGAAAAATGTTTAATTGTCGAGCAATTGGAAAGATTAACAGTTCAAATACGCAAAACTAACTCTGAATTTATCGATTTCAAAGTCGAGCTCCATCCAAATACTTTGCACATCATTGTAGATGTAGACCGCAGCCAACAAAGATATCGTCAAAGTTATTCCGCTAGTTGCAGATACTGCGAACGCAATTTCAGATACTTTCATTGTGCACCGAAATGAAAATCAAATGTGACTGACAGAAACGTTCAATTCCGTGCATTTTATTATAATACGATTGCAATATCTGGGTCAACCACATATTCAGAGTCGTTTTTCACTACCATTTTGCGTTGTAAAGTCATTCGAATGTTACAAATTCCAAGATCGCAAATTACAGATTTCCTTTATTGATGTAATCAATGAAACAATGGATGATTGCAACAAACTCCCGCCGAGAACGTTGATGATCGTTTTCTAGCAAATAATATCATTCACAAGTGGCACTCTCCATAATCCCATTATTGACAAGAACAATGCAAGTTCCTTCGAAATGAGTCCACACGGCGCCACCTCTAAGCGCTGCTGGCGATTCTTTTCATCGAAAAGATCGAGAGTCGCATCCTGAGTGAATAAGAAAGCGGCAAGTGAATCTCAAACAGAAACAAGCAGTTGATTGTGAAAAAGATTTTCCAAGTGATGTGCTAACGATAAATCTATCATTACTGTGATGGATCAAAATCAGAGCATACATCTGGATGGAAGGCAGAAAAGCAATGGTGCTAGCCGCATTCAAAGCATCCACAACAGAGCATTCGGAACATTGGCGTACCTCAAATACAATAGCTTGATCTCAATATCTCTTCACTAAAATGTCTCCAGTTAATGTACAATTGTTCATTTGGAGCTCACATTTGCAAATATCCCAAGTTTACTACTATGATCAGTGTGGTGAATATAATTTTTGGCACAATGCAATTTTCAGTTGTTCGAAGCGAAAATTTTTCATGGTTTCACTAGATCAGTGGTTCTCATAGGAGGTGAAGTTACACATTTTGGATAACTTGGAGGTGCCAAGGGATAATGGAGGGGGTTGGGAAATTAGTATTTCATGCAGCTGTTAAGTGACGATAGAACGCTATTGTGATGGGTTTTCAACTCGAATATGTAAATGCGGTTAGTTGATGGCAACACTCTTCATTCTCTCATTTTCTGAGTATCATTAGCTCGTCCCGGTCTAGCAGGGTTTTCATTCGTTTCCTTGCTGTTCCAGTCGCTCTCATAGCTTTTATTACCAAAAGTGTTCTCTTCTGCTAATTTCTCATTCATTTCACTCAACAATCAAAGTCAAATTCTCATTATATCAAACACACTCTATAATTCATCAATAGACTGTCGAACAATTGCTATATTGTTGATTTCGGCTGTCAACACTCGTCAACGTGTCCAGTAAATAGTATACGATACAGAATAAGAAATCGATTCGAGCTGTGAAGTGAAATGAAACGAAGTGAATGAGAAAAACCCATCAAGAGAACGGTATTCGCAT